TGGGACCCTTAAATCCACAGGCCAACACTCTATCCATTGAGCTAAACTGGCTATAAAGTAGTGCTATTGATACCTACTTTGGGGGTTGTGAGACTTCAAAATATCTTAGTTAAATAGGTGTCACACCTGATACTTAGATGGATGAATGGCATAGTATCTCTTTGGAGACCAGTATCTTTAGAAGGTGGCATTTAAGTCTCAGCTGCTCTGATTCTCTGATCACCCCGCTGCCTCCAAATACCCTGGACCCCTCCTTTTTCTTAAGTTCAGGTCCCAGAAATGTTGGGCATTTCTATCTGACCTCCCTTGCCATCTCTATCTGACCAGGTGAAATATCTGAGTAAGCAGGATTGTTACATATCAGACATACAGGGCCAGGGCAGGTAGCTCAGGCAGCAGCTAATGAACAAAAGGCTTCTCTCTGTTCCCAATAAATTGGTCCTTGGGGATCCTAGCTTTGAAATTCTAATTGACACAGGAAGGAAAAGATTCATTAGACTCTGGACTCATTAAAATGCTCTGCTGCTCACCTACGATTTATTCTTGGCAGTTCATCAAGAGGAATTAAGTAAACCAACAGGCTGGGATGCTGCTGACAGCAGAGTCCAATGTGCCTAGTGCTGCTTGTGGGGTGGGAATGTTGCGTTTCCCATACTGTGGAGCACACAGCTGGCTTCAGAAGTTCCTCACCCCTACGACTTAGCATGAATCCAAGTCTCATGTACTGTCAGTGCCGAAAGGACCTTTTGAGATCATTCATAGATGTTAGCTCATTATGGCTGGTTCAGACGAATGGGGCTTGGCCAAGATCACCCAGCACAATAGTAATGGAGTTAGCATTAAAATCAATCAGGCCTCCTGACTTCCAGGCCAGTGATATTTTCCCCTGCATCACCCTTGGATTTCTAGATCCAGTATTTCATTCAGCTTCCAGGAGGTAATTTTGACACATTCTGTGTGCCAGGGTTTTGTGATAAACAAAGCAGATACAGAGGGAGCCTGTATTAGGGGAGGTTAGAAAGACCTGAGGGGTGAATAGGAATTATTAGCTCGGCAAAGAAGCCGATGAGCTGTGTTCAAGGCTGAGGGACCAGTGCCTACAAAGAAGCAGACTCTACAGGAATGGAAAGTTGAGTGTGCTGGAGTGGAGGAATTGTGGAAGAGATGAAAAGTTAAGATAAGTCAAATCTATGAGGTTTAGTCCACTTTCTCTGGATATAAGAACCCTAGACCTGGGATTAGGAGTTCTGGGTTTAGATGTGTTAGTCATCACTCAGGTAACATTTATTTAAGACCTTTTAAGTGTGCCGTGCTGGGCATTAGGGAGTGTAAGGTATATGTAGTCCCCTCCCCCAGATCTGTCAGTTTAATGAGGCAAACACACCAATAAACAACTTCTATAATAAATCAAAGGAATAATTACCTCTGCTGGAGGAAGTCAGAGTTGAACTGTATGTTACTGTCATTATTTTCTCAAGGCTTTGATGATCCCTCCTGTCAAATGGTGATAACTACTATCCTATGTAGCTCATGAGCTGATGGGAAGACAGCTTTGTAATGACTGGTATTTGTGTGGCATTTTGTGGGTTACAAAACACTTTTCTGTCATCAATTAATTGAATCGTAACTATAATATTAAGACTTAGGAAATTTCCCAATCTACAGATGAGGAAACTAAAAGTCAGAAAGGTTAAGGCTTATTCATGGTTTTATAGCTTTTGATTAACAAAAGTTAGGATTGTAATTCCAAATCCTATGCTATCTTTTGCAATACAGTGGTTCAAACAAACTTTGAAAAGGAGACAGATGACAACCTTTCTTTCCCCTGCTTGAGTAACAAATTTCCTTCTCCCTTCACTAGAAATGCAAAAAACATCTCCAGTTTGAGAAAAGCAAACCTAAGTTGCCTGGGGAGAAAGAAAGGAAGTTTATTTTAAGTCTTCCACAGACTGGGCTCTGAGCTTTTAGGACCATGTGCCCCAGTGCTCCTTCAGCTCCCGCTGTTCCGTCTCATGCCATTTACAGAGTACTGTCTCACCATCACCTCATTGGCTACACATAGACAGAGCCTGTTATACAGATGGGTAAACTGAGATCCACAGAGGAAAGTAATTTGCCCATAGTCACTGAATTATTCATGCCAGAATCCAGAGCTCCTGACATCAGACAGGTGCTAAGTCATAGGATGTAGGGTCCGTTGATTCATTTCACTTCACATAATTCTTGAATATATCCCATGAAGTAGACACTTTGCTATACAAGAGAGGCTCTGGTTAGGCTCAAACCATTTTGGTGCAGTGCTTTCTTTAAGAGCAAGGACTTTTGTTATTTACTTCTCTGTCCTTACTAGGGCCCAGTTCCAAGAATGTCTTGCTGTTGTTTTTGGCCTCAGTCTGCCAGAAGCTGGAGGGAGCAGATGGCCACAGCAATGTGATCATGAGGGTGTGATCCCAGGCAAGACTAGAGGATGAGTTGAGAGCCCTAGACTCATCTATTGCTGCCAAGGTATTTTTTATTCCAGAACAATGTGAAGCTGGCCAGCCCTGCTCCCCCATCTCCCACCACCTCCCCCTGCTCCCTGCCACATCACCTCTCTCTCTCTCTCTCTCTCTCTCTCTCTCTCTCTCTCTCTCTCGTTGGTCACCTGGATAGATTTCATACAAAGGCTTCTAGGACCTGCTGTCCAAGGCATGTTCTAAGATGAGATTAAGGAGTCTCACCCGATAGCCAGTCTGGCTTTTCCTCTATCTACAGGCCTTCTGTCAGGCTCCTGCCCACTCTGCTGCTTTTACTTCTGACTTCTTAAGCAGAGTGGTTGTTTAATATTACTCTGACAGACAGCCTAAAGAGCAATCAGTGCTGATACTGAGAAACCAACATGTTTCCTGTTTATCCAAAATCCTAACTGCATAATTTTAAGAAGCTCTACTTGAGGAGGGTGTCTGGGATAAGGACAATTGACTTCCATGATGGGAAGCCTGCAAGACCTCAAGTACCTTATAAACTATGAAAGGAAATATGCACAGTGTTTCAAATGCCGTTCATATTCATATCTTTATACATTACAGAGCTCTTTCATACCTGTCGTTGCCTTTGAATCTTAGAGCAACTCTGTGAGAGAAGCAATGTGAGGATTACTATTCCCACTTGATACCAGGGAAGGTTAATCATGGTGGCAGAGCTCCAAGCAGAGCCAAGATTTGGGAGATTAATGGTCCTAGGTTTGAAATCTGGTGCTCACCACTTTTGGCTGCATAATCTTAAGCAAGTTATTTAGCCTGTCCAAGCCTCAGTTTCCTTCTCTATAATAGGATGATAACGATATTCTTATGGTTGTCTAAAGATCAAATGATATAATATAGGGAAAATGCTGGCACAGTATAGATTAAGTATTAGAAGCTCAGTAACTAGGTTTTCCCCTTAGTGTTTTAAATGTCTTGTATTCTGAGTTTTTGAGAATTACTACTCTGATTACAGTAAAATGAACTAACACATTAATAAATTCCTATGACCCAAAGTATCATTTAAAGTGCCATACTGGGTTAAGAGAACTGGATTAGTGGGAAGAAGGGGTACCCCAGGCAATAGCTTAGTACTTTAGATACAAATCACAGTGGGTTTGAGCTGATAGGGACCTTGAGATCTATTCCCAATGTATCTTTCTCAGAATAGATATTAATAATCCAGGAAAAGTCAGTTCAAAATAATGCAAAGTACATTTCTTTATTGCTGACTTCTTAGAGCCTTTCGAGTGCATGTGACTTGGGGAGAGGATGGAGTGTACCAACTTCCTATCTTTGACCTTAGAGCCTCTTTTCTGAGAACTCTTACTAACATCTTGAGCACTGGTCTTCCACAGAAGAGTTCATGCAGCACGTATCTGGTCCAGTTTCTCCATTTCTAGATGAGGCACCTGAGGTCTGTAACCAAGTTTATAGAGGCAGTCCACAGTAGAACCAAGTTCAGAGTGCCTCACTCCTTTTTGGGCCACAGCATTATTTGCATTCCACTATTTTTCCATTTCTAGCCAGCAAATCATAAAATTACAGAGCATTTTGCAAACCACTAATCAGAGAGCATTGTTAGAGAGTCAAGCTTTCTGTTTTGATGTGTTCATCCCAGAAAATAGGAAAATGAGGGGGGAAAAACAGGCTTATTGGCCAACAAATGTTTCCAAACAATGGAAGGAGCAGGGGTTAGGTAATTATCTCAGTGTCTAGAAAGGTTCTCTATCCGGCCTGCGGGCTGTGGCCGAGAAATCATTTGGTCTGGCCCTGCCAACGAGTTAGAGATGAGTTAATTAAATGTTTGACCAGTATAGCAGGCTAATTTTGTTGTTGTTGTTGTTGTTATTATTAATCTTCACTGGAGGATATTTTGTCATTGGTTTTTAGAGAGAGTGGAAGGGAGAGGGAAAGACAGAGAGAAACATCAGTGTGAGAGACACACATCAATTGGTTGCCTTTGCACGCTCCCCAACCAGGGCCAGGAATCGAGCCTGCAACCGAGGTACATGCCCTTGACCGGAATTGAACCTGGGACCCTTCAATCCACAGGCTGATGCTCTATCCACTGAGCAGAACCGGCTAGGGCAGTAGCCTAATTTTTAAATTGATAATTTTATATGGCCTGTGAATGATGCTATAAATATCCAAATGGCCCTCAGCAGAGTAAGGGTTCTCCACCTCTGCTTTTCCACACAGTTTAAAGTTTGTTCTTGCTTTCAGAAGTTTCCATTGCGCCTGGCTGGCACGGCTCCATGGTTGAGGGTCGACCTGTGAACCAGGAGGTCATGGTTCGATTCCCAATTAGGGCATATGCCTGGGTTTAAGGCTTGATCCCCAGTGTGGGCGTGCAGGAGGCAGCTGGTCAATGATTCTCTCTCATCATTGATGTTTTTATCTTTCTCTCTCCCTTCCTCTCTGAAATATATATTTAAAAGAAGTTTCAGTTGCAACCACAGGCTCATCTAAGAAGCCCACAGTGCAGTTCCCAGTGATCAGCAGTAACTATGAAAACAATCCTGAGAGGGGTCTGAAAAGAATATATCAAACTTCGGCTTCTCCATCACCATCTTCATCATTGAAATCGATGGTTAGGAATGTGCTACTGGATTTCTATCCAGACCCTGGCAGAGGGAGTTGTCCTTGGCATTTGGTAAGGGCTACCTTTGTGTTTTATTAAGCCTTCTAGTTCAGCTCTAGTAAAAACATTACCTTTACATTTGCAAAGTTGTACAGTAGACTTTTTTTTAAGAATACAGAAGTATTTTTATTTTTTTCATTTAGCGATACAAACAAATGCTGACAACATTCACATAACTTTTTCTCATGTCTACAACTGAATAGATTGGAACTGCTTTAATTGCTATAGAACATACTGTATTAGTGTTTTAAAAATTTATTCCAACCCATTTTTTTCTTTGAAGAAGAGGAAGAAGAAAAAGGTAAAGATACAAATTATGAACAACAAATACACATCTATTAACAAGTGAATCTAAAAATCAAGTGAATAAAAAATCTGTTGAACAGAATAAACTGGTGAATATAATAGAATCAGGGGCATAGAAAGGGAGTGGACTGACAATTCTCGGGGGGAAAGGGGTGTGGGGGGTGCGGGAAGATACTGGACAAAAATCGTACACCTATGGATGAGGACAGTTGGGGGGGGTAAGGGCAGAGGGTGGGGTGGGAATCGGGTGGAGGGGAGCTATGGAGGGAAAAAAGAGGAACAACTGTAATAATCTGAACAATAAAGATTTCATTAAAAAAAAAAAAAGAATGGATGGGGCAGGGGACAGTGGTACATGGTGTTCAGTTCAGCAGATACTTTCCTGAGCTCCTATCCTGGGCCAAGACCTATTTTGAAAGGCAAGGGGGAATGCCAAGATGAAATAGATTGTGGTCCCTACCACCCAGGAATTCACAGTCAGTCTAGGTGGGGAGGTGACACAAAAACAGGTCATTTTAATATAGTTACCTCAGATGGATCTTAGGCATCACATCAGATTCCACTGCCCTACAGCTAGGAGAATGATTTGCTGTTATATTAATTGTTGAAATAATCATCCTATTAATATCCTTCTCATCATTAAAGCATCATTTTTAATGTGGAAAGTAGTAATACCTTAGAGAAGGTCAGCAGTTTCTCAAAGGAGACCTTTAACATGTTCAATTTTATTTGTATGGGAGGGAGGTAGTGGTATTCCTAAACTGCTGATCGGGCTAGTGAGTCCTTGGCTTGAGGAACATACTATGGGGAAGGATTTATATCCCTCTGGTCACCCAGTGTGCTCCTTAGTTATCACTTATTTTATAGCTTGTTGTACCCAGGCACATTTTTTTTTTTTTTTGGTAGAATGAGCAAGAAGGAGGAGGACAATCTGCCAAGAGAAGCACTGACTTAGCATCTGCTGAGATTGGCAGGGGCTATGGCGAGGCAGCAAAGACTTCGTGAATATATGTATTATTGCATGAGGTGCCTTCAATTAATCAATTAATGAACATTATTGGAGCTCCTCCCATGCGCCTAGCAATGTGTAAGATGATGTGAAAAAGTCCCACAGTTCGCCTAACACAGACAAGAGGAGTCAACACAGATAGGCATTGATCAGGCATTGACTTGTGTGGCTCAGACTCTCAGGAGCTATAGGAACTCATGGTACCTCCTTACTGATCACTGTCCTGCATATAACATAGGAGTGGTCAATTCCCATAAAGTTCAGGCTCTTCAGTGGCCCACAAGGCCCTTTCTGATCTGGCCTTTGCCAGGCTCTCTGCTGTTGTCTCCTATGTCATCCACTCTACACTCCAGCCCAAACCACAATACATATTATTCCCTAAACATGGAAGCTCTGTCCAGCTTTCACAGCTTTGCTCATGTTGTTTTCTCTTTTCTAAATGTTATATCATCCGTGTGTGGGCTCATTTCAACTCTATACAAGATCAGAACTTGATGATCCCTCTTCTTTGATTCCCTCCTTTCCCTTCTCTCCTGTGCCTCTGGTAAGTGACATGCCTCCCAGTTCCCAAGTCTTCCTGTCATAGCCCCTATCAAGATGACACATAGATTTGGTTTTGTTAAGATCTCTACCGCTGGACTGTGAACTCCTCTAGGGTAGGGTTGTATTTTGTTCATTTCTATCCAGTGTACAGTCACTTTGGCAGTAATAGGTGCTTAATAAACTATTTTTGGATACATGAGTAAATAACTAAAAATTTCAGCATATTATTCCTCTACAATAACTTCTTTGTTATAGACTCAAAATTGAGTAAACACAGGATACTCTTACCCTCATATATACATGAAAACACAATGAGGGTTTGCTTTCTTCCTGCTAATTAACATCCCCACCCCCACACAATATGATAATACATGATTCTGGTGAGGTTGCCATGAAAGTGGCATTTATTGGTGATAGCAGTGTAAATTGGTACAGCACTTTTGAAAAGCAATTACGCAGTGTATCTCAAGAGCCATAAAAATGTTATTCGTTTGACACAGTAATTTTACTTCTGGGAATCTGTCTTAAGGAAATAATCCAATATATAGAATAAAATTTCCCTCAGGTACTATTATTTGTAATAGTGAGAAATGGGAAAAACCGAAATGACCACCTAGACTTATGACCAGTGTCTAAGCAGCTCACTGATAGGAAGGGTTCGCCTCAGCCATACACTGCCCCCTCCCCATGCGTGACACATAAAGACTAGTCCAAGGAAAGGTGGGGTCAAACTTGAATCCATACGTTGGAGTCTGATACCCAACTGTTCAGGAAGAACTGAGTTCATACTGACTTGCTCACTGTGTGACCTTGGGCAGCTGACTTTGCCTCTCTGCACTAGGGTTTACTCATCTGTAAAGTGAGTGTGACTTATGATCCCTCAGAGAATTGTGTGTGGATTTGGTAGCCTTAACTCATGAAGGGATTTGTAAGCCACATTAAAAGAGTTGGACTTGGTTCTTGGTGGTGGGAAGCCATTTCACTGATGGGTCTTAAACAGGAGGTGAAAGGGACATACTTGCTCAGTCACTCAAGAGGCTCATGCTTAGTAATGTTTGTGGAGTTAATGTTACCAGAGGGATGAAGGCAATGTGGCTATGACTCTGGTGTCAGTCTTGGTCATCTTTGGGCCAAACATATGGCACTGTGAGATGATGCTTTGAGCTGAGCCCTAAGTTATGTTTAGATTAGAATCCTGGAGAGAGGTCATCTTCTTCCCTTCTCCTGTCTGAATGTTATCTGTACAGCCTACTTTACTGTACAGCCTAGGGAAATTAAATATATATACATATAAATACAGAGTGTTCAAAAAATGTATACACACTTTGAATGACTATAAAGTCAGTATTCATTAACATACAGTTCATTTTCAAAATTTAAAAGAATCTACAAAAATCAGTAATTTTTTTGTCAATGCTTGTTTTCAAACTGATGACCATTCTGGTCCAGGCACTGCTGATAACACGAAGCAGTGGAATCACAAAACATCAAGAATCGTTTTGTGCGGTATTTTTGCACATTCTCATTCAATAGCTGCCCTGAATTTGTCAATTGTTGCCTATTTTGTACAGTAAACTTTGTTTTTTGTGTATTCCCATAAGAAAAAGTCTAGTGGATAAATTTTTTTTTGTTCAAAGCTTAGTCTGGCTTCACCCATTATTTCAAATCAGTTAAACCTGAAAAGGAGTGAAAATTACGTGCGTTGCCAGCTGTTCAAGTGTGTATACATTTTTGGGGGACATCCCGTATATATGCTAGTGCATATGCTGTTTGCAGGATTGAGCCTTTGTGGGGCTGTGAGGGGTGGCATTTTGCTCTTTTCAAGGAGAAGGATTGTTGTAATGAGGAAAATACTGGTTTCACGTGAAAGGATTTTAATCAACTGCCCTTACACCTGAGAGGCACAATGCTTGGCTGCAGTGCCAGGCTGTATACCCTCTACCTCCTGCTTTCAGCCACCTGGCTTGCTGCCTGGGTGCCTCTGTCTAGGAAGACCAGCAGCTGTCTATCCTGGAGATTTATGTTGTACAGCCCAGGTAACAGTACATTTCCATATGTTATCTCTCTTGACCAGGGGTCCTCAAACTACGGCCCACGGGCCACATGCAAATACAAATATTGTATTTGTTCCCATTTTGTTTTTTTACTTCAAAATAAGATATGTGCAGTGTGCATAGGAATTTGTTCATAGTTTTTTTTTAAACTATAGTCCGGCCCTCCAACGGTCTGAGGGACAGTGAACTGGCCCCCTGTTTAAAAAGTTTGAGGACCCTGCTCTTGACCCTCCTACCAACCTGCACTGCAAGTGGGCAGGGCAGGGATTTTTTCCTAATTTTACAGAAGGGGAGCCTGGAACCTCAGAGAAGTGAAGTGCCTAAGTTCACACAGCTAGTGGGGGGAGTGGGGGAGGGTTAGGACCCAGAGTTCCACAGGTAATCAGGAATCCAAAGCTAATAATACCCTATTACTATTTTTACTTATGGTGAGGCCTGCCATGGGAGAAGTTAGGCCTCCCTCTTTGTTCCTCAGAGAGTTCCTTGTTTTTCTAATATAGGCTGGAAATTGGGGACACATGCACACAGCCTTTTGCAGCCTTATTCTAGAATAGCCACCGAATGTGGAGTTTCCATCAGACACAGAACAGTGAGCAAACAGGTTTCTTACCATACCTGTTGCCCAGAAGTGGAGCCCAACATGCCTTCTGTGTCCTCAAGGTACAGAGTCCTTTCTGGAAAAGGACTTAGGGCCTCTCTTTCTGCCCCCTTCTCAAGTGGTATTCTCAGGGGGCTGCTTTATTCTAGAGATTCATTCATTCATTCATTCAATTCAACACTTAATGAGAATCACTCCTGTGATTCTTTTTGGGTTCAAGGCACATTTTCAAATACTAGAAGTTTGGTGAAACGCTTGAAAAGACTTTATTGAATCCACAGTGATAGTATTCTTTCCTTGACCACAGTTCACCTCTAGGTTAGTGTTATAGTAGAACTCATCACCTTCCCTTTTACTAGTATACTCGCAAGGAAAAGTTCTTGCAGGTTCCAACAATAATAATAGTAGCTAATATTTGCATACTTTTAAATATGCCATACACTGTTCTAAACACTTACATGAATTAAATTATTTTAACCTCAGGAACCCTAGAGATATGTAC